TACTTTGATCTTTAGAATTAAATCTCTTTTGCATACATGTCAAGGTACACAGCTAAGAATTTTAATGTGTATACAGCAAAAAAAATAAATAAATAAAAACATTTGCGCACATCACTAGAAATAAATTAGGATAAATGAATCATCTGACCTCGATACAAATTATATAAAGAATGCAAGTACAAACTGGAGGCGCATGCAGGGTGACCACGGCAAAGCTGCCACACCACTCTGAGGTTAAAGTGGCTGATGAGGATCACTATCGTTTTATTGCCCAGGTGTAATACTACTATTAACACACTACTTTGAGATATTTGGGCAATGAGAGTCAGCTTCTATCAAAGTTAAAGTGATTCAAAGTGGAACAAAGTTTCTCCTACCTCCATTGTTTTCCTACAATACCTACAGATCCTTAATTGTTTCATTCAAAAGTATTTAGTCTAAAAGACATGATTACCTTTTTCACCACCTCCTCCTCCTCCTGCTTCTTCTCATAGTGGGAAAAGTCATCAAAGATGGAGGTGGTGTGTTTGTACTGGGCGATAATCTTGAGCACCTGCTTTGCCTTTTCCAGAGGAACCTCTTGAGTGTCACGTGAGTTGGTGACTGGCTTGTTGTCGTTGTTTTCCAGGCGGATGTGGCGCAGCTGGCTATTAGGCACGTCCTTAACAAACAACCAGTTCACATCAAATTTGCCCTTCCACTTGTCCTGCGCCCAGACACCAGCGCTGGTACCGTAGTCCACAGGCGAGCGCATCTCTGCCACGCCGCAGAAATGGCCGCTGCCGTTGACGCTGAACAACAAGTAGACGGGACCTTTAGAGTTCATAGCTCTGTAGGCTGAGTCCAAACGCTTGTTGCCGTGCTCCGTGCTGCACCAGATGGAGTACTTGATGGAGCGGTGGATGTCGTCCTCAGAGTAACTTTTGATGATGAACACACGGCCGTTTTTCAGGTTCCAGTCAAACTCCTTGGGGTTGTAGCTGTGGGCCGCTCGCAGCTTCTCCAGCACAGGGTGGGAATCTGACCCCGGCTCTGGAGGCACACCTCCGCCCCCTGCACCTCCGTTACCAATGCCGCCACCATTAGAAGAGCCACTGCTGTCTAAACTTCCACCACCGTAGCACAAGTTGCGGTTGCGTGGCGCCACCCAGCGGGTCTGAGGAGTTGGACCAGAGTTGTGGTTCTGGTAGGACTGTGGAGGAGGTCCCTGCATGGTCATCTGCTGCACGAGGGACTGGGCGGACTGTAGGGACTGTTGAAGGGGAGGGAGGAGACTGGGAGCATGGGAGTGAAGCTGGGGTTGGTGATGCTGGTGTTGATGTTGGTGTTGCTGTTGGTGGTGGTGATGGTGGTGGTGGGGTAAAGGAGGAGCCATCTTGGCAGCAGTCCCTTTATTATCCCAAGTATCAATGTCCATGCTGTGTTTAATGGGAGGTGGAGGCAGAGCTCCTCCAACTAGAGGAGGGCCAGGCTTGTTCTTGGTCTTTTGTTGTTGCAGCTTGGCAGGTTTACTAGCAATAGCAGCCCACGATGTAGGTTTGGGAGGGGGCATACCGATTGGTGTACCGCCGTTGCCCGTGGCAACAGCTGCAGCTACACTGCCACCGCCACCGATCACAGAGCCTGCACTCTTCACACCTGAGCCACTTCCCGTCACATCCCCTCCTATTTTCAGGCCCAGCATGCCCTGCTCAAGGCTGTTCATACCTGGAGCTTTGCTCAGGGTGTCACTGTGGAACCCCGTCTGGCCATCAGGGACTAAGGTGCCTCCTAGAGAGCTGGGTGGGTAGCTGTAGCTCCCCCCGTAGGCTGAGCTCTGAGTCTGCTGGCCCTGAGAACCACTGGTGCCCCAGGCTGAGAAAGCTGGATTCTCTGGGAAAAAGTTAAACCTGTGAGGGTAGATGCTGCTGCTGAGCCCACCTGGCTGCCCAAATACGGTGTCATGCATGAAGTGATGGTCTCCATTACTGAGTGGGGCATAGGGCGTCAGGTAGGGAATAGGTGGATCACCTCCTGTAGACCAAGGAGCCTCACTAAGAGGGTATGGAAATCCAATGGAGGGGGCATAGTAACTGGATAGGTAAGGGTCTGTCATTGATTGATAGCTGTTATTCTACAAATAGAAACAGAATAAGGATCATTTTTAAGGCAATAAGATGCAATAATACAGTTTTAGTTTCAAAAAAGACAATTCAGGAGATGCTTCCTTTTATCCTACCTGACTGGACTGGCCGGTGAGATAGGGCTCAAAGTCACTGTCATGGACTGTGTCCTTCTGGTGGAGGGAGCCATTCTGCACTGAAACTGGAAAGGCTGCAATAAAATTAAAGGGTTGTCAAAGCTGTTCATCAGAATTTACACAAACATTAGAAATGACATGCTAATTTCTGAAGCAGGTTATGGAACAGTGGTGGCTCAATGGCTGACCCTCTTTGTAACTGGGCCTTTAAGACTTATGATGGCTGACCCTGCGCTCTGACCCCAATTTCCTAACAAGATGGGATATGTGAAAAAAGAATTTCAGTGTTAATCTGTATTTCTGACTAATAAAGGCGTCTTCTTCTAAAGAAAGCTAAATCTATAATGAATCCTACAATAGCTGCCATTGTTCGTGTTGCTCATACAGCTGCATTGATTTCTTATATCACCTGATCAGAATGCACCTAATACTAATGCAAAACAAATACCAGGATGCTATCACTCAAAGTATGCTATTAATATTTCACCTATGGAGTGTGCACCATCATCGCCCAAATATTGTAGCTAGACCAAAGAGAAACAAATGCAGTTACACGGATGATGTGTGGAGAGATTTAAGATAGATTGTGGTCCGTTAGACAAACACAACCTTTAGGAGTTGAACTTTATAAATATGTGTGGTGTTTTCATTTGATAAGCTGTTTGCCCTTGCTCGCAGTAATGTAGGTCTCATTATTGCATAGAGCTACAAAAAGCACATTATGTAATGATGCAAAATCATTATTTACACGTCAAATATGTTTTTCTCTTCAGGGCCACAACAATATACGAGTCACTTAGATCAAATATGAGGTATCAAGGGACAGATCGGTACTTTGCTATATACAGGATGTTAAACGGGTTTATGTGTGACATCTTCAGCTACAAAACATCTGGACATACAGCAACCATTTATATCTTACCTTTGCTTGCATCTTGTCCTTTCGATGTCTTAGTAGTCACATTAAAGAGAAAAAAAGATAGCGTGTGAGCGTTACGAATGTTATTCTGAGCATCTCACATTATTCTAGCTGGCTGAGGTGTGCTCATACATTTTCACTGTAAACCTTACTGACACATAAAAGCCATTAGCACAGAGCGGTGTGTTATGTTATGGCAACGAGTGCGGCTCAGATAGCCGCTGGAAGCTGTGGTCCAGGCCTTGGTTTGTTACCAGCAGGGAGCAGTTTTCTAGCTAACCTCCCCTCTCAGTTGGCTAACTAGCTGACTAGCTGGCAGCACCGTCTCCAGAGTGGGATGCACACACAGCACATCTCGCCTCGCCGTTGGGAAAAAAAAAAAAAAAAACTGAAGCTTTGTGTTTCTCCTCGCTGCTTACCTGAGGGTCAATGCTAGCGGCAGACATCATTCATCCACCAGGTGTTGTGTTAGACTGGAGCCCTGACAAGACGCGCAGTGTGTGAGCCGCAAACTCGGCTGTGTGAAGCAGCTAATAGCCGGAGAAGCTTTCTCCCAGCTCCGCGTTACTTTGCTAACAGTTAAGCACAGTTAGCAGCAGCTGTTAGCCGGTGTTTCCGCTCGGCGCGGATGGTTTGCTTGTCGTAGCCCTGCTGGCACTCTGCGCTGCCCTGTCGACATTAATCCAGCGGGGCTTCAATCTGCTCCGACCCCCTCACCGCTAAATTAAAATCCGACCAGCCTCGGTGGCCCTGCTCACCAGCGGCAGCTTCATCCGGGGTCTGCGGGGCGGAGATGACGTCGTGACGTAAGGACGCGTACACTGGTACTGAGCAGCCGCAGTTTAGTGTTTACGTTTATGGACTAAAAACACAATTTTCTCACCAAATTATTAGTATTATTGTTATTATTATACTTACCTTTAAAAACAAGGATTGCTGTGCTTTGAAGCAAAAGCAGGACACTCAAAAGGCAACATATTAAAGAAAATAACAGTAAGACTCTGAAGTCTTTTTGTTAAAACAAAAAAAGTAAAACACATTATGTCAGTATCAATAAATACAAGTAAAATAGTTAAAGTGCTCAAACCTTAATAGCCACTTCAGAGAAATAATTATGATTTTACCTAATAATTCTAAATATTACAGCTAATGCCCTGTGATATTATATAAAAACATACACAAAAAACAGAGTAATTTAAATACTAACGTGAAACCCTACAATATTATGTACAATATCAGTTTCCCTGACAAATGTAAATACTGGCCCTATAATAATATAAAAACTTAAATATTTAGATTATGACCCTACAGTATTATGTAAAATGCAAAGACTTATATAAATATTACAGTTAATGTCTTATAATATTATTAATTATGCAAATTCACCTGATTAATTTCAATATTAAGGTTAAAACCTATTGAGGTTCAGACCCTATAAGACTATGTCCACTCACAAACTACCAAATCAATTTGAATTCACAAAATCACAAGGTTCCTATGAGGAAGGAAACCTCCAGCATAATGAGGCTCAGGGAGGGCAGCCATCTGCCTTGACTGATTGGAGTGAGAGTAAAGAGGAGAGAGAAAAGGAGACAAAGAGACAACAAACAACAAAACATAAACGCTGGACAAATTTTAGGTACTCACATGGTATTGAAACCACATAAATATAATGAGAAAAATCTACTTTAAGTATTAATGGAAAATACAAGTTCCTCAAATTTGTTCATAAACACAGCACTAGAGTGAATGTGCATATATTTCACCGCTGGAGCGAAAACAGCATATGAACAAATGAATATTTAATGATAACAAATGTTAGCAAAACTCTGATACAGGACGAACTGTAGATGTAGTTTATTTCACTGAATGATATCACACACGATACACATTGGGATGCCACTTTTTCTAACTGGAATGACACATATTAATATTGTATACGTTTTACAAAACATCAAAAAGAAACAGTTATTTATATACAAATTTTGGAATCATATTTTAGATCATAATTAGAAAGCTGAAGAATCTTTCACACACATGCACACGGGTAGATGTACACCCAGATTTATAGCTCTTATGGCCCAACAAAAACTGAAACTAAAAGCTAGGCCTGTGGTATACTGAGGAGTCCCCTCTTGAACCAGGACACTACATGTGCACAGTGAGGTTCAGCATGTGTGATGTCTGTTTTTAGGCATAACCAAGCCAAAGATGATACATTACAAGAGTCTTCAGAGTTGCCTGATCCTCTGCTGCTCACTCTGCTTCTGTCAAACACTTTCATTTTGCGGTCATTTATAATCTAAACAAAAATAGAGAAAAATGTGTATGAGCTGGTGAATCTGACATAGATAAAATAGGTGCAAACAAGAGGGAACCGGGAACCGTTGTGATACCACATACCTACCAAGGAATCTTTACACTAGAAGAGCAACTGAGAGGGTTTGGATGGATGATGGAATTCACCAATGAAATTAACTAAAATAAATGAGGAAAGACAAACATAAAAAAAAAAAGATTCATAAATCAACTTCACAAAGGGGGGAATTAAAGGAAATGGAAAGTGGAGGATAGTGACGTATGTATGTATGTATGTATGTATGTATGTATGTATGTATGTATGTATGTATGTATGTATGTATGTATGTATGTATGTATGTATGTATACATATATATACATGTATATACATATATGCTTATTCTTAATGGATTATTGTTGAATAAATTCTATATTTTATGTAAAAGAAATGAAGAGTTCATTTGTAAAAGCAGATAACTCCATCTTCACAAACCTTCAGAAAACCCACTTTTCCATCGTCGACCTGAGACAATATCAATTAAACTTAAATTATCTCTATTTTTGTCATGTCATTTCTACTCAGTCAAATCCACTCAACTTCAGTTTGACTGATATTATCTCAAGCAAATAACAAAAAAATAAGTTTTCTGAAACTCTACAAAAATGGAGTTATCAGTTTTTGCAAATAAACTCTTCAAATCATATTTGACATATGTGGTTCTCATTGATCAGGAGGATACTTACAGCTGTCTTCTTCATCTGAAAAAGTGCTGACAAGGTAGCAGGCATAAACAAATCCCAGGAGCTGTGGGAGAAAAATAGAAATTAATAGAAAAATGTCTAAAAGAGAATCACATGCAGTGAAAAGAGCATGTGTTCCTTCATGTAATAATTTAAAAGCAGAATATTGCAAACTTCTAAATTTCTCTTTACAGTGAAAAATATTATGTCCTAAAAAGATTTTTCAAAAATATGCATATAATCAATTTATGATGGTTGAGTTCCATTTAGTTGCTTCGTTGGTGTTGTTAGTAACAACTGTTTTTCTACTACAAGTGAAAATATCTGTGCAAAAGGCATATTGTGCCAATACACACAACAAAAACTGCATCAACATGCATCAAAATATTGATTCAAAACAGAAAAAATTGGAATAATCTATATTGTTTGTAGTAAAGTAACCTTACCAGGTTATTCTGATGGGAAATTTGATCTTATTTGCAAAAAAACAAACAGTACCCATGGTCATAATTCTACTTGATTTTTAGCATTTCATGTTGTGTGTTAATGAAATGGACAAATTATAAGAAAAACTTCGGAAGACAACGTGCCTGTATTCTTATATTGATTTCATGAAATTCGTACAGGAGTGGCTGTGGCTCAGTTTGTATATAAAAATGTACAAGCCAGTGACCATTAGATTTAGAGATTTTAGGTGGTTGTTTTGATATTCATAGCTATTTATTATTATTATTATTATTATTATTATTATTATTATTATTATTATTATATATCTTTTTATTGTGTATATTTTGTGAATAAATGTGCCGTGTACTGGTTTTGTTCCCCCCCATCTGGAAGTGAGACTTATTACACAAACACTATTCATATGTGCTTATGACGTATACCTCAGTGTTGATCACTTTCTTTCTTGGACTGTAATCCTTCCTCTGAACGTAGAATTCAGAGTCTATTTTTTTTTTATCAGGAGCATAAGACGTTTTTCTTTGGACACTTCCTTGGTTTTTCCAAAGTACTTCTCGTTGCTGTAGCCTAATCTGTCTCTGGAGTTAGAGCCGCTCTCACTCTGGCAAACCAATTATTGCTAAATGATGTGAAGAGCATTGAGACATTGACTGGGTGCTGACAGGCTTAATGAGCAACATGCTGTGGACTCATTTGGCAATGACTTGACTGAGACATACATTTATTTATATGTAAAAGTCTTGTACTTTAGCGTTAGCAGAACGTTTCCTGTCTGCTGTTTGTCTAGATGACGTTCTGGGTGCTGAGCTTATCCATACTTTTATGGTGATAAAGTTGTATTGACTGATTATCCATCTTCTGTCATTTATGGGGCGGGTCCTCCTGGAGAATTCCAAATCTTTACCAAGCCAGATGAGATATGCAATCCCTTCAACAAGTTCTGGGTCTACCCTTGAGTCTCCTCCCATTCAGACATGCCCGAAAATCTCCAAAGGAAGGTGTCTGGAGGCGTCTCAACCAGATGTCATAACTACCTCAGCTGGCTCCTTTCAATGTGAACGAGAAACAACTCTACTCCAACTCCCTCTGGACCACTGAACTCCTCAACCCTGCTAAGCCTGAGCCCAGACAGTCTACAGAGGAGACTCATTTCAGTTGCATGTATTTGCAATGTCATTCTTTTGGCTAATCCCAGAGTTCATCAGCATGGGGCTTGGAACGTAGGCCATTGTGGTAAATAGAGAGCTTCACCTTCCATGTCAGCTGCCTCTTTACCATGACGGTAATGTACTGTACTGTAATGTACTGATGCTGCACCAAACTGTCTGCCCATCTCACGCTCCATTTAAAGGTGCGAGCAATTCACCAGTTTCTTGCAGAGAATCATGGCCTCTGACTTGGACATGCTGACTTTCATCCTGGCCGCTTCACACTCTGCCGCAAACTGCTCCAGTGTATGCTGAAGGTCACAGTTTGACGAAACCAACAGAACCATGTCATCTGCAAACAGCAGAGACACAGCTCTGAAGTTTCCAAACCAACACTCTCCCCACCTTAACTGCGCCTTGTGATCTGGTTCCTGAATATCACAAACAAAATCAGAGACAAGGGGCAGCCCTGGCAGAGTTCAACACCGACTGGAAACATCTGTGACAAGAATACGATCATGGCTCTCACTTTGGTTGTAGTACTCTGCACTCCCACAGTATCCCCTACAGGGTTCCTCCGCAGGCCTTCTCTGAGTCCACAAAACACATATGGACTGGATGGCCAAACTACCAAGACTACCTCAGCAACTCGGCAAGCATAAAGAGCTCATCCACTGCTCCATGGCAGGACAGAATCTGTACTGCTCCTCCTGAACCTGAGGCTCAGTTGGAGACTCCCCTCCAGCATCTCTCTCCTAGGTGGAGGCAGACCAGTGTGATAACCCTATAATTGGAGCACACCCTCTGGTCCCCCTACTTGAAAATGGGAACCACTGCGCTGCTCTGCCACTCCACAGGCCCCGTCCCAACCTCAACATGACATTGAAGAGACGTGTCAGCCAAGACAGCTCAACGGTGTCCAGAGCCTTAAGCATCTCAGGGCGAATCTGGTCCACACCTGGTGCCCCGCCACTCTAATGACACTCTGATATTGAAAGAGGCAAATTCAGTATGCCCATTTATCAGGATGCTTCAGACTGATGTTGCTTCAAAAGCTCTTCTTTTGACTCAATAACTTCCACAAACTAGAAGATCCAGTATCTCAGTAATTGACATTTATACACACTACAGAAGTTCAGCAGCATACCAAATACCACTAGTGTGATAATGTGATACCATTTTTAATGTAGTGGGCCTCTTTCACAATTTACAGTTTCTGTTGCTAAGCAACAGCCCATTCCTGTGAGTGCAGATACATTTTTATGAATATTAAAACAACATTAAATAGTAAGTAAATATGTGTTTCAATTGAAGTTTAAAAGCTTTATAGAGTGAGTTCTGCTGAGATTTTCACTTAATGATGTGTTGCACAAAACTGAAGACTCACTGATATGAGGAGCTGCACGATGCAATGCAGGATTTCTATGTACTGGTATTCTAGCCAGCAGCTCAGCACGGTGCTCAGCTCTGGGTTTTGCTGGTTCTGCCACCCGGCAGAGGGAAGGCTCTCGCTCTCACATCCCGGCCCGTTGTCCTTCCACCAAGAGCGATGTGACGATACTCCGAGGGAGAGGATATCGCTGTCCTGAAGAGCAGACGACACATGAAGGAAACCTTTCAGGGTCTTAAACATATTTCTGCTTCATCAGACTGTGTGCCAGAAAAAGTCGAAACCTGACGTGCAGCACGGATCAGGTGTACTGTGAACGTGATATGGTTTAATGTGCCTCGCTTCCTGTCTGCTAACCAACACTTGTGCTTGTGATCGATTACACTATCAAGTTATCATGTCTGTGCATTTTATTTGTATTTTTTGGCGGTAAAACAACAGAATCATGGAAAACATTAGTAGCTGTGGGCTTGACTCAGACGTTTGACTGAAATCTTCCTACATAGGGAGTGAGCAACAAATCTATCATCGAAAGTGAACACTTAAAGAAAACAATGCAGCATAAATTGGAAAGAAGTGGACAACAATCGTGGTCAAATGATGGAACTGAATCCATATACTAAAGCCTATTATTGGAGTATTTCAAATACTAGTATGTATATGGAAATGGGATCTGAAGCCATAAAGTAGATGCTACAACAGACTCTTTACTTTCATGTATTCTTATTTAAATTGTTGTATGTATGTACGTTGCAACCTGTTAAATTGTGCTACTGCCGATCTTGGCCAGCAGTCGTTTTCCGCTACTGTTCTTTGTTCCCCGTTTTCTCGAGATAACGAGTTAATTTTCTCATTATCTCGGGATAACAAGAATCGTTTTCTCGTGAAAACGAGATAATTTATCTAGAGAAAACCATCTAAGTTTTCTCGAGATAACGAGATAGTTGGTGTTTGTGTTTGCCCGCCAGGATGGAATCCCAGGTGTGTGGAACCTCCCACACACCTGGGATTCCATCCTCAGTCACCAGCGGGGGGTCGGAGGACAGATGAGACCGGGCACGAGCACTTCATTGTAAGTTGTCGTGCCCGGTCAGCTGTTCTCATGACACGTCATGTTGGAGTTCCCGGTCAGCTGTCTATATAAGATACATCACACCAGGAAGTCCAGCAACTTCTGATGAAGGCTGAAGTGACAGCTGAAACTGTCAATGGGATAATTATCTCGTTATCTCGAGAAAATGAACGCCGTTTTAAAAAATGTGCGGCCATGACCGCTCTCGGCTTCCGTAAATGAGACTTGTCCTGGTTAAGTAATGATTACATAAAAAAAGGGGGGAAAAAAGAAAAGAAAGATACAGAGTTCAAATCTTATATGATAGCTTTGGTTATTCAAAGTCTTCCAGAGTTACTTTTTAGCAAATGAGAACAAGGTGATACAGAAAAAAAGACAATTATGTAACTGATAGAAGAGATTAATGACTATAAGTGCTCTGGAAATGAAAGAGAAGTGTGAAAACACTGCACAGCAATGACTCACAGGGGAGAGTTTAAGACGAATCTTATAAGCTCTTTAGAGTCCGGGTTGGTCGAGTACATTCGGTGTAACATGTATTCAGTGTAAAATATAAAAACTGATGAACACTGTCGACAAAGATGTTCAAACAGCAACACTGTCCGACTATCAGTAAAAGTATTTGAATTACAGCATCATAATGAAACAGTGAGGATAATTATTGAAATGTGAAATAATTTGGTTCAGTCATTCTGATTTTTTCTTTTACTTTTGCCATCATTCAATCCAATATCCTGATGTAAACAGCTTCAGTAAACTACTCTGCAACTGAGAACAGAAACATAGTGTAAAGGCGTTTTACTGTGAGTCTATAATTGGAGGCAGACCTGAGAGCAGCTTGTGACATGGATGGAGCTGAACTCTATTTAGAAGCTGTGGCTGTGTGGGTCTTTAATTATCTGACACTTAGTCTTACCTTTGAAAGGCCTCCCAAATCCAGGTACAGACAGCTCACAAAGACATTCCAGCCAACCCACAACAATGTCCACAGCAGGTACTGAGGAAACAATACAACAACGTGACAGCGGAAATGAATGAAAATTACTATTCTACAAACGTCCAAACTCTGCATGGACGAGAGTACATGTTCCCAAGATGGTGTTTCTTGTAAAATACTGAAAACTACATAAAGTGTCCAAAAATCTGAACTAACCCACCTCACTGTTGCTGGAGTTTTAGTATGAGTATTAACATAAGTTGCAGATAAAATCTCATATTTAACATACACATCTCAAATATCCAGCCAATAACGGCAGAGTTTATGCTGCTTATCTGTTTTGTCCTGTTGTCTAAAAGATTGTTTTTAAAAGGTTCTCTTAAGTTTTTCCATCACGTTTTTTTCACATCTTATCTTTGTGTTGTACTTATTGTCATGTTTAAACTAAAAAAAATCCTTTTTTCATTTAAAATAGTAGTTTAACTTTTGGGAGATTAAATTATTCACTTTTTTCCGTTAAAGATTAGATGGGAAGATTAAAACCACTTTGATATTGCTGCACTAACTATAAGGCTACAACCAGCAGCTGCTTAGCCTAGCTTAGCATAAAGACTTGAAATTGGGGCTAATGGATAGTCTGGTCCCCTACTGACACCTGAAAAGCTCACTAATATAAACACTACATTTCATTTGAGTAACCCTTTCTTAAAATAAGGATGAGTAGGATGCTTGACAGGAGTTATTTTAGTCTGTTTCGTGCTTGCACAATTTTGCTGATTTGCAACAAGATTAAACAAATGAGATGTAACATGCTAATACACAAGCTTTAGAGAAGCCAGGCTAGCAGTTGACCCTGACTTTCAGTTTTAATGCAAAACTAAGCTAACCAGCTGTATACTCATATTAACGAATTGATTTTCTCGTCTAATTCTTGTTTCCTAAATCTGTTCCTTACAAACCAAAAACTGTTGAGAACTACATTAGTCAACATTCAGTGTTCAGCTGTTTACCAAAATAACGTAGTGTGATCTGTACTGGATGACTCCAAACAGGCCCAGGATGACCACAATGATGTGGAAGAAGTTGACCATGATGGGAGCCCACTGGTATCCCAGGAAGTCGAACGCCTGCCTCTCCAGCGCAGTAATCTGGAGGATCAACAGAAGAGGAGAAACCATGTCAGAAACTTTGAAACAGCACTTTATTAAACCAGTCAGTGTGAGCTGAGGCTGTGCTGCTCTGGCTTGTTAGGCCGTGATCTTTACTTGTGTGTGTGTGTGTGTGTTTTTTTTTTTCCTAATAAGTTGTCACAGCAACCAAGCCATGGGGGACAAAGCATGCATGGGAAAAGACAGAGCCGGGTGAAAGTGTTGTGTCCTCTGAGGTCCGTGCACCAGCCATCGTGAAGGGGGGCAGGGTGGGAAACAGAGAGCAGCAGGACAAAGTGGGAGCAGCCCTTCGTTGTGGTGGTTGTTAGTGTTGGATGGCCATTGCTTCTCATACGCACCTCCAACTATAACCAGCCAAATATAAGCATGTTTCATGTTTTCAGCTAACCAGTACTGTCATTATTAATTAATCTGCCAACTGTTTGGTCTATAAGGTATCTTCAAGTAATGAAAAATACCAATCAGAATCTTCCATAGCCCAATGTGATGGCTATAAATTCCTTCTTTTGTCTGAAATAAAAGACAAAGTCTTTAAAATTAAACTAATTCAAAGATTTTTTGTAGCAGAAGGTCAAGATACCTACCGAATAATTACATTTTAAATAAGCCAGAATCACACTGTAAAAAAAAATACAAGTTTTTAAACGGAACTTTTAAAAAAAATAATTTTTTTTTTCAAGATTTTCTCAGTTTTGCTAAATTACAAATAATATCAAGTGAAATTCCAAAAAAGTATTAACTTAAATGTTGACTGTAAAAAACAGGCCACAACACAGCATAATGTCTGCATCATAAATTGGTACTTTTACAAATACTAATTCATTACTTTTTTCTTGGATGACTGTAAAATTACACTGTTTTAATGTATCTAAATCAGCTTTTAAAATATAATTATTTTACAGATATTTGCAGTTACGTATTTTTATGTGGTACCTTTGCTGCCACATTTAAAAAAAAAATAAAAAATCTATTTTGGTTTACAGTGCAGTAAGTTTTTAAAAATTTTGTACCCTAAACTTTTGCTCATCTCTCATCAAACCTGTTCCTGTTGATTTTAGTCGATCAACTAATCAGTTTATTTCAGCAGTAATTTCAATATTTCATTTGGAAACCTGAGTTAATTATGACACTGAATGGAAGGTGGTCAAATACAACATTAAAAAATGTTTAATAAGTATTGAAGTTGCTTTTAGTGGTTATTTACCTAAATAATGTAGCATGTGTTAAAAGTTTTAATATTTCACAATAAAACACAAATGATAAAGCCTTAAAAATAGCAACAAAGGAACTTTTCTTTTATTAACCATCAGAGCAATTTTAGGCATTTTCTTACTTAAAATGCAACTTTAACGTGTAATTTTAGTGATTTCATGAGTATAAGTTGCTCTGACTTCTAACAGGGGATGTATAGACAGCAGCTGGCCTAATCTGTAGCAGATCTGTTTATGTCGAAGCATCATGTGTGAAAGAAAAACATCTCACCAACTGCAGACAACACAGGAGGATCAGCATGCATCGTGCAGAGCAGCAGCCCATCTTCTCTGAAGCTGATGAGGATGATGATGGAGATGCGGACAATAAGTTTAAAACCTGTGAAGCTTTACATCCATTGCCAGACGTGTGAAGGAGCGCACAGTACACTTTACCTCAGGAGGAAAACATGTAGGTTGTCCCTGCGAAAACTACGGAGAAGGGGGAGGGTCGGCTGTTGTATGAGGAGCGATTAATGCCGCAGCAGCAGACGAGGGAAACCCTGAAGGACAAAACAGCGGTGGCAGGATGCTTGTGACTGACACTAGTGATGCTCACTGAAAGTCAGTTGTTTCTGCAACAAACCAGCAAACATTTGCAGGTTTCCCTCATCCTTAGGTCCCTGTAAGTTTAATATCTTGGGTTTGCTTTTCAGACAAAACAAGCAACATGAAGACGTCAGCTTCAGGGAAATGATGATTGAATGATGACATTTTGCATGGCATTGATCAAAAATCACCACATGCTGCAAGAACAGCTTCAATGCACATCGATTCTACACGTTTTTGGGACACTGCTGGAGGGATGAAACATCTTACAAAAGACACTCCCTCATTTTGTGTCATAAGGATGGTGGTGGAGAACACAGAGACCACTCCTATCAGGACAGAAATGTTTCATCAGAGGATACTTTGTACTGATTTGCAGTCACCTTTTCCTCTAAGGGGACAAGTGGAGCCAAAACACAACGGCAAAATGTCTCTATGGCATAAAAAAGTTACCAGATTCCACCTTTGCAGGGGTCAGGAGTTCAGATTTTTCCTTTAATTTGTCTGTATAGCTGCTGACAGGTGCAGGGAACAGCACTGATCATCTTGTTATAGTGCAATGTTCTGCAGGGAAACCTTGTGTCCTGACTATTATGTGGACGTTGCTTCGACATGTATGACCCATCTAAGCATCGCACTGACCAAGCACACCTTCCAGTGGCAACAGCTCTCCAAGAAAGCAGTGTCCTCCCCCATGTGAACAATGCACCCTGCCACACCGCAGAAACAGCTCAAGAATGTCTCGATGAACATGACAAAGAGCATGATGGTTTGATGCGGCCTCCAAACTCAGGGGACCAACACAATATTAGGTATAATGTTGAGGCTAAAGAGTGGACACTGCATTCAGACACCTTTACTTCTTCCACATGTTGCTACGTCACAGCCTTAAACTATAATCATCATTCTGCACTCAGTACTCCGTGATGATAAAGCAAAATCTGAATTTTACAATTTTTTGAAAACTGAAAAATCACACTGACAGAAGAAGTCGTACAGGCTGTGATGCTTGAACATTTGCTTCAATTTCTCTTAAACATCTTTGAGAGGTCACTGCACCCTGATTGGATTCCATTAGTGGTACTTCAAACTGATTAGATATGATTTGGAAAGGCCCATACCTACCTTTACAAAATGATAACAATAATAAAAGCAACCATTTGCTTTAATCTTTTGAAACTATCTGCAACCAAAAAACTACACTGAGTCAGTTGAATAAGCTTTTCCTTTACAATCAAAGGTATTTTTAATTACCACTCCCAACCATCTGAAACTGTTCAGGCACGTTAAGGTAGAAAAGTGGATGCAACAATATTATCTCAACACAACCATAAAATTGCAACTTAACAGGCTCATCTAAATTGATGAATTAGATACTTTTTTAAAAATGCATTTAATTAAGTGGGAACAGGTCTGCTGAATTACTTTTTAAAGAGCTATAGGATATCACAGTTGTCTTTGCTATATCAGAGCAAAAAGGCTGACAAACTGGGATTGTGCTGAAGCAGAGGTTTTAAAAAATATTCATCCTAGGATCATTTTGACATTTTATTTTTATTTTCAGCCAACAAGTTCAAAGTCCAAATGAAACAACTTATTGTTTCTCCTTGCTCTCAAATTTGAGTTTAAATAAGATCACCTCCTACATAAAATGAATACTTGAGCAAGGTTAGCCAACAAGGGTGGCCACAGTTAAAAGAAACTACTGTTGACAGGCATCAGGAGACTGAACACACGACAGCAGCATGAGACATCCGTCCAAGCTCGTCTCTCTCTGAGGCGTCTCGCTGCTCCGTCTTTTTTCTCCTGGAGGAACCATTGACTCACTGGAGTGACTCATGCTGTGTTTGTCTTGGCAGGACAGCCTATTGTAACCCCCCTCTCCTTTATGCTTCCTCTGCCCTGGCTGTGGCACGGATTGACCCTCATACAGCAACACCGTCTCCTGCACCCTGATAGGTGGTTGTTCTTCTACAATGCTCTGAGGACACCAGCAGGTGGTGGTAGTGGTGGAGGTAAAGGCTTCAAAGGTATGTGAGTGGCAAGGTTAAAACAAGAAAAAAAGGCATCATTGGCCTACTTTTCTATTTTTACAACATTTGGACAAATAAAAGAACCTATCAGGAATGATGATATTTCTCAGTTTGCTGCTTTCATTGAAGTAGGGAAGGAAAATGTGTTGCTTTAGTGGCTCTTGTAGGGGTCGTGATTTCTGCTGTGGAGCTTATTCATGACTGTGTAGATCCATCCGGATCATTGGACTTAAGTGAAAAGCAACTTGTCTTTTATGTTGTTGAATGTTTCACTTCTCCTCCAAGAGGCTTCTTAAGAACGAAGTGAAGATGCCTCTGTGATGAGAGGTGAAACATCAACCTGAAAGAGAAGCCTGGTTGCATTTTTGCTGAAGCTCTGAGGATTATCCATGAACACAAAGCCACTCCCAGAGATTAATAAAGGCTTCTGACTAAGGTTTGGATCCTTGTGTTGCTTTGATTAACTCCTTTTGCAAGTTTTAGGACTTCAGGCCTAAAGGCTGCCATTAACTTCACAAAAAGTTATTTTAAAGACTTCAAACAACTGTTTCAACATGTCTGTCCATCTGCAGCAGCAGGTTTGGACTCTAAAATGTCCTTTCTGTCTTCTAAATGAACCACAATTCGGATGCACTTCTTCCAGAGCAGCTGGGATGTTGCATTAGAGAGAGAGAAAGCCTCCTAAGCCAGAGTCAGCCCATTTATCAGCCCGACACCCGCACTTCCCTGTCCTTCCGAGGGATGACGCTAGAATCAAAAAGACAAATTCATAATTGGGGGGTCTCCAGCTCTGCCTGTGTCACATGGAAGCACAGTAGCTGAGCCGAGGGGATGCGAGTAGAGATGGAGGGGGCTTGAGGGACCGTGGAGGAGAAAAACCTGCCACTTGGAGATAATATTGGAGATAACAGCTGCAGCAGAGGCGGCGGCGGGGCAACAGATAGGCAACACTTCCCAGCCTCCCTTCGGGCTGGGGAGCAGAGGAGCGCGGAGCAGGGCGCGCAAGGGGGTCAGCGGGCGCTCAAAAGGATGCCACATGCAATATGCTGCATTCCCGTCCTGTGAAGCCCAGGAACAGCCGAGGTATTCGCCGTTGATCGATTATGCTCGCGGGGAGCGCCTGGTCCGAGGGGAAACTGAAGGAAGCGACCGGGGTTGACGCTGCGCCTCCCCAAACCTCCGAGCTGAGTGAGTACAGGGGGGGAGATGCTATAGCGCAGAGCCCGTGGCTGTGTGACAGGCTGGAGGCAGGGAGGCAGGGAGGCAGGAGAGGAGGGGAGGGGGGTCATTCATATGTGCCTATAGATCCAGCTCGATAACACGCAAACAGCATCGTTTATTCATCCAGGAATCACAGCCAAACCCCTGTGCCTGTGCGTTTTTTCCCCCCCTTCTTCTCTTTGTGCTCGCCCAGCCTTCCCTTCATCTCCTCTGGTCATACATTTAACATACAGACACGTGTGTGCGGCCACCTCAGCTCTATACTGCATTGCCTTTTTTTTTTCCTGTGTGTGTGAGAGATTTAAGCCCCAAATTAACGCGTTCATCAGGAGAAGTTTGATGTGATTTGACGGAGAGAGAGAAGCGCAGGAAGCCTCCAATCACGCGTTTTATTTCATTTTTCTCTCTGTGTGTGTGACAGTGAAGCATAAAGATCATTAGACCTTCCCTTAACATTTGGAGCCCCCACCTCCCTCCTCCTCATAAATAGGGGGGTGTGGGGGCTTTTGTCGTGTAAGTTGCCAGCTGACCTCAGGGACACAACATCCTTTACCCATCCTCACTTTGATCTGGAAATTAATCGGAAACGCTTTGATGATTAGAGGAGGAAGAAAAAGGGAGGAAAAGAAATTATAAAAAAATAAATCTCTGCCTGCTGATGCTGATGCTGCTACGGGCTTAATGAAACAAACCCGTGATAAAAAAAAAAAAAAAAAGCACACTGCATCAGCTGGATTTTTTTTTCTTCCATTTTTTTCTCCCTCTCACTGCCTATAGCTTCCACCTGCACGGGCATTAAAAAAAAAAAAAATCCTCCTCCTTTAAGCAGAGCTGTAAAATCCCCGGTTCACACCCCTCTGCGTGGTTTTCGGTGTCAGCCGGCATCGTTTGAGTCGTGGTTTGTAACCTGTTGTCACCAGCAGCATCACTGCAGCCCAGAGGCGAGCCGAGCCGAGCCGAACCCAGTCAGAGTGTGATTGATGCCTGCTGAGTGGGTGCCATCATGAGCCACACACACACACACACACACACACACACACACACACACACACACACACTGGGTTTAATGTGCAAAAACATGATTCCATCTCCACCTCCAGCATCCCTGTTGTTGTTGTTGTTGTTGTTGATCACTTCTTTCTTTCTTTTTCGTTTGTGTGTGTGTGTGTGTGTGTGTGTGTGTGGAAAGGATGATGACAAGGAATTATATTTATTCTTTTCTTTGGTTCTGGATGTATAAAGCCTGTAGACTGTATCAGAGGCTCAGATAAAGACAGAGCCTCTTCCACACAGGCTTCAGCTTTCTTCCTCACAGGGGCATGGTTAATCGTTGTTGCAAGCAAACATTTGACCTAATTCACATTCTCACACAATAGCAGTCTCCTCTCTCTCCCCCCTCCCTCTCTCTCCCCCCTCCTCACACACACACTCACACACATACACACTCATTGCTGTTATTTGTGTCACACAGAGGGTGAGGCTTTTGCTCCACATGAACTCCCAGGTGGTTTATCAAAAAAAAAAAAAAAAAACCTGAGCAGATTGGCAAGAGAGGCCACTGTT